CCCTTGTCCATCGATCGCTCTGGAGGCTCAAATGTCTAGTAAGTCCCGTATTCGTCTCAAGGGAGACGTGAACCCCAGCCGCCAACTTCAGTTACAGTACCCGCTTTCTTTAACCTTGTAAAGCATTCGTGTTCATCACGACTCAATTGCTGTACCAGTGGCTGACAACTAGGATCGCACAACAAACACGTGCTAAGAAACTTCTGCTGGTTTGGACTAGCAGGTGTTGTGTGTTCACTTCCGAAGCATCTTGCCATTTGTTCGACAAAAGTCCGACAGATAGAACGCCAGCAACTCCTCCTCAGTTCGAGCACCCGCCCTCCGAAAACGCTCATAAATTGCATCAATTGATATGCGTAATGAACCGATGTGCCCATTGCACTCGCGTATCATCACCTCTACCAGCGTTGGAAAACGCAATCCTGGTGGTAGGCCGTTTTCCAAATTAAAGCACTGATACGCCTCCTCATCATTAATCAAGAAATCGTCCCTCGTCAACTTATACTGGATGCTGCTGAAAGCAACAGGGCTGGAAGGGGCATCCGTCTCCAGCAAATGAGTCGCCGAGATGATAAATCGGACGTGATCTGGTAACCATGATGCTGAGCCTTTAATCAGACGAGTCCAAAAGACGAGATCATTATACCGCCGTTGACAGTCGTCCAACAACAAGACACACAGCTTGCCACTGGGTATATCGCACGCCTTCTTATAAACATTGACGCCATAAGTGGAAAGAAGAGTTGTGGCATCTTCTGTGCTACCATCAAAAGCGATAGGTGCGCAGGAAATTTCAGGATGTTTACGCGCAAACAATGTCAACAGCGACGTCTTTCCAGAACCGGAAGGAGACGATAACAGCACAAAATTGGTTCGGATAATAGCTTCGTAGAGTTTTTCAACCAGCACATCCCGCGAAAGATGAGGGTGCTGCACATTGATTCCCTCACAGTATGGTCGAAAGGTCGGAAAAATCTGGGAAAGGTTGGCATCCTCGGTCCGATACGGAACCACCACCAGCACGTGAATTTGCCGCGTTTGAGGCGGTGGCATTCCATTCATATCCAACA